GCTACAGTCTTAAAGGGCCATGCCTGTAACACTCTGCCGTTGTATTAAATCATTTTTTTTGTATAATAATTTAAAAAAATTATTTCATCACATCAATATGCGGGCCGCAAGTACAGGTGACGTGGACCCCTGTTCTAGAGGCTTCTCAAAAGCCTCCAGAAGGAAATTAATTATCGTGTGACAGTTTTATGGCAAAGGAGGGTGGGACTGACAAAATGTACTGGGGAATTCCCCCTTCAAACATGAAACTTGGTATTTGATACTTTTGCTCCCTTACAAGAATAAACACAATTCTTGACTGTTGCTCACTTTCTTCATTTTTATTGTGACTTAAACTCAGTTGAGCAAAGAATTAAAACTATTAACCAGAAGACTGGTTTGAGGTCCATTTCTCCCATTATAGGATATAAAGCGATAATAATAAACAACAGAGCTAAACAATGAACCAATAGAAAAGGAGCATACTGAACCTTAACCCTCATGAAATGTAAGATCAGTTTTCATGATACAATTAATAGAATAATGTAATAAACTGAACAAACAATGCTGAGAGTTCTTTACTGCTCTGGAAAAAAAATGATTTGAATATGCATCATCTTTTCACTCAGGTGTTCAGCAATGACTCACAGCTGTCCCACATTTTCTAAGTATATACGTTTTACACCGTATGAATTCTCATGTGCTTCTTTAATTGTAGCTTATCGACAAACCTTTTCCCACAGATGCTACAAGGATACGGTTTCTCACCTGTGTGAATTCTTACATGGCAGTCCAAACCTGACTTCTGAATAAATCCTTTGCCACAAGTGCTACAGGAATGTGGCTTCTCACCTGTGTGAATTCTCGTGTGTGTTTTGAATCCTGATGAGTCAGCAAATCTTTTTCCACAGGTGCTACAACAATATGGCTTCTCACCTGTGTGAACTCTCGTGTGCGTTTTGAATGCTGACAAGGTACCAATTTGCTTCCCACAGGTGCTACAACAATATGGCTTCTCACCTGTGTGAATTCTCATGTGTGTTTTCACTGCTGATGAGGTAGCAAATCTTTTCCCACAGGTGCTACAAGAATATGGCTTCTCACCTGTGTGAACTCTCCTGTGTGTTTT